TATCTTAGGGTTCATTTCCTTAACATCACCTTATCTGACCTTTTCTGCTTGACTCCAACATATACTAGATTTATAATGTATTGTTTAGGGAATGACAGAGGGAAAACTCTGTGCATACTTAATACAGATACATTTTTTTCAAACATTGTTAACTGCTGGGTGGCTGAATCTGTGGATGTGGAGTCCATAGAAAGGAAAGGCCCACTGACTTCCTTGCTTGTTTGTTCTGAAATGTTATACTGCTATGGTTTGGATCCTGAATGTCCCCTCAAAGCCTATGTGGTATAAAGTTTTAATTCTCGGCTAGCCAGTATTGAGTACAGTGCAATCTTTAGAAGGTGGGGCATTAGGAATTTTCTTAGTGCCAGTCTGCTTGGGGAAGGTCCCTGTACCAGGCCCTTTGCCTGTTTGCATGTAGGTAACCCATCCCCCACTTCCATTTACCATGCCGGAAGTTTCAGCGCAGCACCTGCGTTACCTAGGTGTGACTGCACACCTGGAAGCAGTTACCTTCCCTTTCTCTGAGGTCACATCCTGGGCCGCCTGGGTCTCGCCTCCCTCAGACCATGAGCAGTTCCCAGGCTCTGAGGTCACATCCGCATGCAGCCTGGCCAAGCCTTCTCCCTACCCAGCCACACCTTCCCCAGTTCTGCCTTCCCCTTCTCCACTTGTCTCCAACCTGTGCTGGGGGCTGGCTATTGAGAATGAATTTCTCTTTCTGCCTGAAGACCGGATAGTAGTTACTTCTCTGTAAACGAATTAAAATCTAACACTTAGGTCATCAGGGAAGTACTCTTGAAAGGGATATTCAGGTCCCAGACCCATCTCTGTCTTTTTTGCTTCCCTGCCAAGAGATCAGCAGCTTCCTTTACCACATGGTGTACCTGCCATGATGTACTCTGCTACCACAGGCTCAAAGCAATATGCTGACTGGTCAAGGACTGAAACCCCTGAACCTGTGAGCCAACATGAGCTTGTCCTCTTTCTAGATGATTATGTCAGGTGTCTTGTTATAGTACTGAAAAGCTTATGAACACAAAAGAAATCACTGGAAACAATGCTGAAATAATAACGTGGCAAAAATGCATGCTATTCAATCTTACTTGGGTCTTCTCTGCTTCTTACCATGTTTTTAGCTTATTTCATGACTCACTAACATATCTTATGATCCTCAGACCTCATAGATGACTAACTAGCCTCATGGTAGGAAGAGAATATCACTATCAAAACTATTATCATGAGCTTCCTTGACATTTTGTCTACCTTTCCTTTGGTTTCCTATAATCAAAAGGACTTACTCACTATTTCCACCTGGCAGTACTAATTTCCTGTTTACAGATGTTTGCTCTTGATGTCTGTTCATTTACAAGCCCTTCTCCCAATCCGACCTCAGCCACAAAGCTGTTTTTTAACCATCTCATCAGAAAGCCACCTTTTTCTATCCCATAATTTCCCACCACTCTTCTGGTACCTCTTACAGAAGTTACCTAGGGTTAAACCTACCCAAGTAAACCAGGTCATTTCACATCTTCCCTCTACACACCACCACTGGGTTCAGCTTCGCCTTCCTGCTCCAACTAGCACAGTGCAGAGTAGATATCACAAAGTTATTTTTTTAATGTATTATGTGATTTCTTTTGCTTCTTTCATGTGTTCTTCCCCCACAGTATACCCCTGTTTTTACTGTATTTGATTCTGGTACCCTGTATCTTCTATATACATTTTTTCTAATTTGGGGAGGGGAAGGGAAATAACAAAATGCTGAAACAAGGATATAGGTTGACCCATTGTAACAATGAGATGTACAAAACACTATGTTAAAAATGTATTCTACAACTTGGGGGGAGGGAGAAGTTGGGTAGGTAGGGAGGGAAGGGATGGCTGGGGAAAAACAAGGGAGGGGGTAACAATGCTCAAGAGGAAATGTACTCATTACTTTACTCATGTAACTATAATGCTTCTGTACAGTATCTTTACAATAAAAAATATAAACATATGTAGGACTGATTCCTAAGGTAGAATTCAATAAAGAATTGAACACATTTCTTCTAATGATCCTAACATAAAGTTCTAAATAAATGACTATACTCCCCCAACTTCTGATGGGAGAATAAGGCATACATATTGATGACAGAACTACAATACATTGAATATGTGATATCTTCAAGAGAGGAACAGGAAAGAAGTAATAGAGAATGGCAAGTGAGCAATCAAAGAAAGACATCAACACAAAAGTAAACTTACCTTGGGTGGCAATATAATGATTGGGTCGATGATAGCCCTAAAAATAAATGAGAAAAAATATCTTATAAACTTAAAATCAATAAGTAGCATAGAAGTCACATGGTAAGTGTCTGAAAATGACCCTGCTTACAAACACCAGCATGACATAAAAGTTAAATTGGAGACCCAGGACCACTGAATTTTTCTTAATCAGCAGAGGTATATCAAATGTAACCTCTTCGATGTTGCATGGGTGGCTTGAGTACTTAATTATACACTGGCTAGGTGATGATGGATGAGTAATAAACACTAACAACTTATGGATCCTCTGAAATAACATGACCACAACTCTTATTAAGGTACAAACTGCTTGAGAATGTGTAATAGAATTTCATTTGTATTTGGGATGTTATTGGCAAGGTGCCAAGGGCTGAACGTATCCTGTTGTATCAGCATGGACAGCTACATCAATAGTAATACTCAGAACCATTCTTAAGCACTGCTAATACCATGACATCGTGCCATTGCTAGGACCAGGAATTTAAAGAAGCACAAATTCTGCAAGATCTTTTTCCTTTCATCATGCTCCTACTGGAAATGAGAAAGAAGAAAATTGGAATGGAAGAAAGCAGGCAGCAAAGACATTGTAGGGTAAGTATCTGGGAAAGATAAAGCCAACGCTGAGAAAATTACACCAGTAGCACCTTGTATCATGATGGGCCTTAATACTTTTCATTTCTATCTCCTGAGTTTACCTCAAATATTGTACCCACAGCTAGTTGGAAAGCAGGAAACAGGAAAAAAGAAACTTGGAGAAAAAATACAAATCTCTTAGGCAACGTTAATTTGTTACATTAATTATTTCTACTCTTACTGTGAAAACAAGGGCTATACCATGGGGGAGGGACATACAAAGCAACAAAACCCCTGTTTTCACTGTATTTGATATTGGTATAATTTGGGGAGGGAAAAAACAAATTGTTTAAATGGGGATACAGGTGGACCCATTCCAACAATGAAATGTACAAGATGTTATGTCAAAAAACAAACTTTACAACTTTGTGGGGGGGCTGCTGGGGGGAGGTGGGAGGGCAGGGATGGTAAGGGGAAACAAAGGAGGAGAAAACAATGCTTGATAAGAAATGTACTCATTACCTTGCTCATGTAACTGTAACCCCTCTGTATGATATTTTCACAATAAAAAACTTATTAATAAAATAAGTAAATAAATATCACAAAAATTATTTTTACTCTTAAAAGTCAACAAAGGCAAATGTGTGTTTTTTTTTTCGTTTTTTTTTTTTGCCAATCCTGGGACTTGATCTTAGGGGCTAGGTACTGTCCCGGGGCTTTATTCCTCAAGGTTCGTCTCTAGCACTTGAGGCTTTATTTCTGGCTATTTTGGTATTTAATTGGAGATAAGAGTGTCATGGGATTTCCTGACCCAGCTGGTTTCATACTGTGATCCTCAGATCTCAGCTTCCTGAGTAGCTAGGATACCAGGCATGAGCCACTGGAGCCTGACTAGCAAATCTATTCTTTTATACAACTGGCCGTGTGTGTGTGTGTGTGTGTGTGTGTGTGTGTGTGTGTTAGTCACAATATATGTGTGTGTATATATATGAATATATACATATATAATATATACATGCATATATAAATATATTGTGGCTAATATTTAATAGATTTCTTTACCTAGTCACTCATTTCCCACTTGGCTGGTAACTTCTACCAGGGCAATAACTTGGACTTATTGGCTCTACATGTCCTTCCAGTGCTTAATAAGTGCTTCTTTAATAAGGAATCAAGGAGATAGGGGAGATGCCCTTGATAAAACAGAAGTCATACCCAGTTGATGAATGGCCTGTGTAACTAAACACCAGGGTTATTTTTCAGTCCTCATCTAGTGACCTGCCAACTGCATAAAAACCACCAATGCTGATAAAATATTTTGTTTACTTGGTTCCAGGAAATGAGTCTCTGTGCTCCTTTTTTCTTGTCTGATTCTTCCCCTTGCTTTTGGAATGCTCAATCTTTTGGCTTTTTTTTTTAGTCTGCACTCACTTTCTTGGTCATCTGATTCAGTCCCATGGCCTTCAATACCACCTGCAATCTTATGAATTCTATATTCTTATTTCCAATCTAGTCCTTTTCCTTGAATCCTGATGTGTGTCAAGTACCTTCCCAAAACCTCTGCTTGGCAGCTAATAAATATTTATAGCTCACTATATATAAAACTGAACTTCTCATTTCCTTCTTAAGTAATATCCAAACATGCCCACAGTCTATTAAAAAATGGCAATCCCATCTCCTCAAGGAATCCTTGATCCCTCTGTTCCTCTCACAACAGCAAATCCCATCAACTCAGCCCTCAAAGTAGCTGTGGAATTCCACCACATATCCCTCCCCCCACCCTTTTTCAGCTGGGCCAACTGACCACCCTTTTGCTCAGGTTACTTCCATGGCCATCCAGCAGTTCTGCTTGTTTCTGCTCCTGTCCACCCAGTTCATTCTCCTCTGAGCATCCAGACCTTTGCTCAAATCCAGTGACTTCCATTTCACACACTGAAAGGTATAGGTTCATGTCACTGTACTCCCTTCTCTTCCCATAACAGGCACCAACACTTGCCTTTAAGTCCACCAGGCCAGCTCTGTAGCAAGGCCTTTCATCAAGCTGCTTCTCCCTGATGGATACATGGCCCTACTTATCTTTGCTTCAATGTCATCTTCCTAATAGAAGCAGTGGACTTCAGTTACTGTATTCAAAGTTGTTGATCACCTCAAAACTTCACATTCCTATGGCTTTAGTATTCGTCATTATACCTTCTGACCTACCATGTAGAATTACTTGTTTTATTTATTGTCTATTGCTCCCAATTAGAACAGCTAATCTATCAGGTTAAGAGTTTCTGCATTTTGGGGAGTTTTGCTTTTAATGAGAATCTATTCACAGTTATGAACTTGGTATCCAGACTGTACTTGAAATATAATAGTTACTCAGTAAGATCTTTTTGGCTAAGTAGATAAAGGAGGTTTGGGTATTGTTTCCTCTGTCGGTTAAAACAACACTAGGAGCCATCCATCTGGTATATCCATTATTTTAGAGATTTGCCCACATCATCCTAGAGTTGGAATGTATTCTCGCCTCTGATTTTCTACCCACTATTATGGAAGGCTTAGCTCTAATGGACTCCTCTTTGATATCCCCTTTGATCTCATTCATTCCTTTAGCTGGCAATTAATCAAACACTAAACTCTCCACTATTTTGGGCATCTGCCAGGTGTTTGCAATACAAAGATGAACAGAACACTGTCTATGTGCTTAAGCACTCAGGCTCCCAAGATGGAATAAGAATGGGGAGTCTCCAATGGCACCTCCCAGAGGAAGGTGTGCCACAGTCCACCTGGACACAAGGGAGTTGAAGGAGACTTGTAGTGCAGGTTTGACAGAGTGAGGCTGTGGTGATAGTGTCTGAGACACGTCTGTGTACACCCTTCTCATGCATGAAGGAAGGAACTGTGCAATGCACTTCTGAAAAAACTCTGAAATGGAGATTTTTATGATTTTGGCCGTCATCAAAATGGTACAGGATTTTGTTGTTGATGAATTGGGATATAAACTATTCAATCATCATCTCTAAACTCAACCCACAAATCTACATAAATGTCAAGGTTTCCCAATTAGCACTAACAGTAACATTTTATGATTACGTGTAGATAACTTTTCCTAGAGACTATGATGCCAGTTGCTTTTGTAGCATCTGTGAAAATGTAACCAAGAAAACAATACATAAAAGCTTGACTATACATTATCTGAAATTCTTGGGACCAGACTGTAGAATAACACCTATGCAATGACATGATAACTTGGGAATGGGACCCAATTCTAACCATGATATTCATTTACATTTTGTATGCACATAGGCTAAAGGAAATTACATACAGTATTTTAAATCCTTTTGTGCATGAAATGAAGTTGGTGTATCACAGCTGAAGGGATTGGAAGAGTCGACATTAAATAAACTGTGTGTGGTATGCTTAGGATTTGACTGCAATTTGTCATTCAAGGTTAGATGTGGAATGTTATACTACTGTGATATCATATCAGTTCTGTGATACCAAAAGCTCTGATCTTGGAGCATTTTGGATTTTGGGGTTAGGGATGCTTGAATTGTATATGAGTAAGACATGTTCTGGGAGGTGCTGATGGACTTAAAGCCTGGTGTATAGACCAAGCTCATAATATGTCTTGGGAATTATGAAGATGCTGAAATCTGTTTAATATAGACAAGGGCCATGGAGGGAGCCACAGTTTTCCCTTGATTTTTCAGTCTCCTTTTGATTTCATTCATTCTTTCAACTAAAAGCCTGCTGTCTCCTAAAGAATTTCTTCTCATGTAAAACATTAAGTTGACATGATGCAGAATGAACAAAGAAGCAACTTCAATAATTAAACAGCCTGCATATTTAATGACATGTCTTGCTTGCGTTGAAAGTCCTGGCAAACAGCTGCCTACTACTTTGAAGGCAACTTAAAAGTGCAATGATGACAAGAGATTGCAAATCACCACATTAGGAATTAAGAGAGTTTTGTCCCATTAATATGCAAGCAGATTTTTAAAGGTGCCAAATAATTACAAGTTGTTGACAAAAAAAGAAATAACATGTTCATAGTCCATGTAAGCATAGTACAGCAAAGAAAGGTTGTAGAGAAATTCATCCACAAATAGGCTGAGTGAAGAAAAAAGAGACAGCTATATCATCATTAAGCAAGCCTCTCGGATGGTGGGATGTTGTGCAATACTAATGTTTTGGATTGAAACGGACATGTATTCTAATTGTATAGTTGACACATAAATGTAGCATTAGTCAGAAAGTTAGGTATATTGACAGCTTCAAAATACATACATCGATATAATTTCCATTGATGTAGTCTGAGTTGGTGTCTCCTTCTATTGTCTGAAGCCTCACTCGAGAATGATCATCTGCAAAGGAAAAAGCAAAGAAAACCACCATTAAGAAAAGCTCTTAGGCTGCTCAAAGTCCCAGAATCTATGCACATTACACTGAAATCCCTACACAGGCTGCTTTGAAGTTTGTTACAGTTTGGATCTTGAATATCCCCTTGAAGGCTCAGTGTTGAAGGCTTGATCTTTAGCCCATGACATTGTTGGAGGACAGAGGGAGATGGATCCTTTAGGAAGTGATGCATCGTGGTAGAAAGTTAGGTAACTGATGGTATGTCATTCAAGAGAATACTGGGATCCTAGTCTCTTTATTTCTGTTTACTTCTCATCGGCGGTGAGGTAAGTAGGTTGCTTGACATTCCCTCCTCACTATCATGTATGCTTTGCCATATGTCCAATCAATAAGGTCTACTGATTACCTACTGTAACCTCTGAAACTGCACCAAAATAAACCTTCCCCTTGTTTAAATTGGTTTATCTTGAATGTTTTGTTACAGAAGCAGAAAGCCCACAAATACAAATAAGACTTAAATACCATATGCCTTCTAAACTTTCTATTGTGTTGTTAAGACTGGGAAGAATTTATAATTCTTTATTTTTTATAGTAAATCTCGTTAACCTATTCTTTGAACATTCACATATACCATACAAAGGGGTTACAATTACATGAGCAAGGTAATGAGTACATTTCTTATCAAGCATTGTTGCCTCCTCCTTTGTTTCTCCTTCCCATCCCTTCCCATCTCCACTCCCCATTTCCCTCACCCCCTTCCCGCCCCTCCCCACCCCACACCAAAGTTGTAAAGTTCATTTTCCAACATAACGATTTGTACATCTCATTGTTGCAATGGGTCCACCTGTATCCCTATTTAAACAATTTGTTTTTTCCCTTCCCCTCCACAAATTATACCAACATCAAATACAGTGAAAACAGGGGTTATACCATGGGGGGCGAGACATACAAAGCAACAAAGAAATAATTTTATAAATATGTTAGAAACAATAGCAAGAAAGAAAAACCATTTGGGTCCTTATCTTGGGATTCATTTCACCTAACATCAACTTATCTGACCATATCTGCTTGTCTCAGAAATATACTAGTTATTGCAAATAAGGGAAACCATAGGACCTATGTTTCTTTGGGCCTGGCTTACTTCACTTCATATAATTTTTTCCAAGTCTTTCCATTTCCTAACAAATGGGGTAATGCCATTCTTTCTGATGGAGGCATAGAATTCCATTGTGTAAGTAGTATTGAGGTTCCTTAAAAGACTCCACATAGAGCTCCCCTATGACCCAGCAATCCCACTTTTGGGCATTTACCCAAATGATCACAAACAAGACCACACTAAAGCTACCAGCACAACTATGTTTATTACAGCATTATTTACTATAGCTAAGATATGGAACCAACCCAGATGCCCCTCAGTAGATGAATGGTTCAAGAAAATGTGGTATACATTCACATATATTTAATAATGAAAAGCTGGAGACTTTTATGTGAAGTCCTAAAACTCACAACAGAATTGTTTCTTAGACTAGAATTTCCAGTAACTTCTCTAAATCGCATAAAAGGCCTGAGATATTGAAAGTTGCCAGTAGTGTCTTCCTTGACAAACGATGGTTATAATCCCACAGTCCAGCCTACTGGGATGTTCAGATAGAGTCCTAAGTCATCACTTGTAAACTCTCTATATCCTCCCTCTGAGACTAAGGGTCTTGGCAGATAGAAGCAATCCTGTCACCAATCAGCATGTCACCACAAGCCACATGGGTGAGTAATCCACCAACCTTTTCTGAATCTGCAGAAAAGGATGGTAGGACCTGCTTAAAATTGAGCTATTTCAAGGATTAAATGAAAACATACATTGCAATGTCTATGTCTGTCATACAGCAAGTAGTGTATAGCTATGTATTGTATTGATAAGAGTTCCAAATGGGAAAATCTTTTTAATGAACACTACTAAGAATATCAGTAATTTCCCTAAATTCCTGATGTTTAAAAAAGGAAAATGCTATAAACACTGGCAATGCAGAGATTTTCCTCTTGGGCCCACTATATTAGGGCTTACAATAGAGTATGCTTTCTTAAAGTATTGTTTGAGCTTAAGTTTTTTTGCTTTGGTGCCAGTCCTGGGGGTTAAACTCAGGGTCTGGGTGCTGTCCCTTAGCTCTTTTGCTTTTGCTCTACCACTTGAGCTACAGCTCCACTTCCAATATTTTTTTTAGTTAATTGGAGATAAGAATCTCATGAACATTTCTGCTGGGGCTGAATTAGAATCTTAATACTCAGATCTCAGCCTCCTGAGTTACAGGCATGAGCCATGGATGCCTGGTAACATTTTATTTTTTGAAGAAAATATATTACATTAAAAATTATTGTCCTGGGGCTCAAGGTATAGTTCAGTGGTAGAACGTTTGCTCAGTTGTATAAAGCCCAATGTTTTAGCCTCAGCCCCACAAAACAAAAATCCTTTCTTTTTAACAGAAGGATATTTTTGTCTATCTTACGGTATATTCAAGTCCAGTATTTATAATTGATCAGAAACAGCTTCCCTTTTAGGGAAGCTCCCGTGGTTTCTGGCAACGGTGGCCTGATCAGGCATTTCAATAAACTTTACTTCCAGTGTTGCTGGAATGAATGACCTTAGCAGGAAGCAGCTGCTACATTTTTCTGAGTCCAACTTTACCCAGAATTCAGTTTGGGGTGGTGGGTGAGGAACAAAGTCCACAGCTTGAGGCAAGAGCTAGGAGAGTACAGGTGATAACCCCTTTGCCCCTTCTCTCTGGGCCAAGACCAACCCCCTGTTGGATGAATGCTTTGTCTGTTTTCAACAGTGCAGACAGATGGAACTGGATGTCAATTTCCTAATGTCATGAAAGATTACGTCATGTCACGGCCTCACAATGAATTAGGATTCAGTATATTTATTTGGATGGTGGTTACAGGTTGGGCTAGACAAGGAGAAATATCTAAAAGAAGTGGTTTCCTGCTCTGATCCAAAGACAACATGAGATGTAGCTATATGTATAAGGTTGGGGGTCAGGTGTGAAACAGGGTCCTTACTGGGGGTGTGAGTTATCTCATCCCTCTTTATTCATCTTCTCAGCTTCCTTCTGTATAAGTGGGGATAGATAGAGCCTCTCTCGTGGTAGTATGGAGAGCATTAAAATAGTGTACATAAAGAAATGAGGAAAAGTCTGCCACACAGTAAGTTATGGACAGACATAGGTTGTTACTGTCATATGCTATGCAAGAGATACCTACACTTGCCTTCTCACGATTGTTAACAGCTGATGTCCAAATGAAAAAGAGGGCAGTCTGGAAATAGACCCGTATGAAGTACAATGATTGATGCTTTATGGTTATAGACTTTAGGAACTGATGACCCAGAACACCTCTTGCTTAAAACTAGTGGCTCCCTAGACATTTCATGAGCTCATTTTGGGGGCTGAGTGGGTTGTTGGTTGTTGGTACACTGTATACATATAGATTGTTATAGCCTTTGTATTTGTCAGAAGAACCAGTGTGTATACACACACACACACACACACACACTCACACACACACACACACACACACACACACACACCCCTTATTTCAGAGTGGAATTATAAGCAACTTTACTGGTAAAGGCATTCAAGTTTCCTGAATAAAAAATACTCTAACAAAACTGAACCACAGCTGGTTCACACACACAGCAAGCTTTCAGTCATGTTCTCTAAAGAGGGATTCAGCTTCTAAGAAGGCATGTAGCATGGATGAACTTTTGTCTTTGAAAACCAAAGCAATATACTGTTCCCCAGTGTGAGAACCCACCTTCTCTTACTTCATGTTTCAGATGCTACCCATCCTCTGTGATTTATCACCCTTCCTGGCTGTTGTTCTGGAACCTTCCATTTAGGAACTCTAGTCTCAGACAAGACTGATGGCTCATGTTCTATACACAGTTTCTGGATTATCTTTTACAGTTCAAACAATATTAAATCATTCACAATAGAGTAGAAATTGGTCTGAGATTCCTCAAGAGGTCTAGACTTGTCCACAGTATCTTTTCAAAATTATTTTTAATACAGTCTTTTCTAAGGTTTTTAGAACAGTGAGGTTTCACCTTATATTAATCCCTTTTCTGCCTTTCGGTACCTCTAAGCTTTGTCAATTTTTCAAAATCCAATTCAATGTGCCTATTGTCAATCAATATGTGTCTAGTATTTGTTGGGAGTATCTACTATATGCCAAACACCATCCTAAGTTTTTAAGAAACAGTAGTAGACAGGCCCCATCTGAGGTCCTTGGGTTCATGGTTCATGGCACTTATAGGCAGTAGAAAAGGAATTGATTCTGTAAATAATAAAGTAAATGTAATCTTGGTAAGTATTAAGTTGGAAAGAACAGAGATCTCTGAGAATATAGATGTGAGACCCTCTCTAAAAAGCCAGCAAGTGTTCCATAATAAAGGGACATGGGAGGGGGGCGAGAGGGGAGATTGAAGGCTGCAAGTGGAGAGGACAAATGTCCTCAATTCAAGTTCCAACATATAGCATGTGCAGGCCAAGAGAAGGGAAGGATTCAGGAAACAAATGAAGATTGGTAGGAGATGAGGAGGCCTGATGGAAAAATGAGATCAGACAGACCTAGGGAACAGCCCTTTCAAGTAGGGGAAAACTATTTGTGAACTTCCAGCATTAGAACCCTTTGGGTTCCTTTGTCAGGAAGATCTTCCCCAGATAGCTTAGTCCCTGTCCCTGAACTAGGAAACAGTGGTTAACAATGACACTATAGTTTGCTAATGGAGGACAGGCACACATCGTTAGTGCATGCACCATACATATATTTCAGAATTAGAAAAATGTTCCTGTAGTTTTCTTTTTTTTCCAGTGGAAATGCAAGTTTGACTACTGGGGAGTGAATCTACTTTTGCCACGGAGTGGTCCCTTGGTGTTGAAGTGGCATTTTTTTTTGCAGGACGTGGTATAGGATTTATTTTAATTCATGGTTTCAGAGTTTGAGTCCACTG